ATCATAAAGGGCTTGTAGGCTGGGGGAAGGGTGTCAGAAGATGAGGTAGGAATGGTAGGTAAAGGCCAGATCATAAAGGGCTTGTAGGCTAGGCAAGGAGTTGGGTGTTTTTGCTAAAGCAACAGAAAGGTTTTAGGCAGAGGGTGGGAGGTTGGAGCATTTGTAGGTTAAGACACATCTAATTAACATTTGTAAAATATAGCTCTCACAATTCTTTGAAAAATAAATTGTAGTGGGACAAAAATGGAAATGTCCTGTTATAGTCTGACCAGAGCTCCCATGTTCAGGAGTGGTATTTTGCAAAGAGGTGGCACTGTTTGGATCAGGATGGGCACCTGATATAACAGTGGCCCAACCACAGGCTGGTTGGCAGCCCATGATGTGGCTTAGAGCTATGGGCTCTTGCAACTGAATTGTGCTCCTCTGAAATGTGTATTATAGGATAAGAAGAGGGTTAATTAGCTGTCAGTAGTGTGAGAACTGATCAAAGAGGTAGAGAAAAACAGAGATACAATGGGAAAGAAAAGAACAGCGTCTCTTTAGAGATGCCTTGATTCCTAATAGCTACTAATATATCCATATAAATACTCCTGTTTCCAACCCTTTTAATTAAGGTGGCTTCTTGGTCTCTCTTTCTTGCATGCAAATAGTCTAATGGGCACACTGGTGTATCCAAGTTTTTGCTCTTCTTCTCATTCATTCAGTAAGAAGTGACAAAGATTTGCTCTGAAAACAAACGAACAAACGAACAAAAACACACTCAAATCTCAGTTGCTTTAAACAACCAAAGTTGACTTCTCATTCACTTTAAATACCATAATGAAGTGGATGGGACACTATTCTGCATCAACCTTCCAAGACAAAGATTAATGGAGCATATTCTCTGGAACATTGTTGATTGCCATGGCAAAGAGAAAAAGAGTTCTGAAAGGTCTTGCATCAGCAATTAAACTCTGCTCATAATTCAGGGGCAGAATGTGTCACTTAGCTCATCCCAACCACAAGGAGGCTGGAAAATGCAATCTTACCATGTACCTGAAAGACAACAGGAAATATTTGACACACTCACCACCATTTACTCATCCATAACCATGGCTTTAACTGCTGTCTATATACCAATGTCAAAATTTCTAGGAGAGATGCCCCATTTTCCCTCTTTATCCATATTTTCAACCACCTACTGACATGCCACAACTGGATTGTATCATAGACATTTCAAGTCTCATGTACCAAGACTGAACCCTTCATCTTTCTCACAAACTTTCTGTAGTTTTTCTCTTGGTCAGTGGCTCCAATATCTATCCACTACCTCAAATAGAAAACCCAGGTGTTATCTTTGACGCTTTCTCTCTCTCTTCTAACATCCAATCAGTCGACAAGCCCATAGCTTCTAATTTATCCCAATTCTACTAACTCCATGACCATTACCCTACTTTAGTCCTTCATGGATTCTTGCCCAAACAATTCTGTTAGCCTCCTGTCTGGTTTTCCTGCCTTCATACCCTCCCTTGTAAACTGTAATTTATCCATTCAACAAACATTTAAAGAGTGCTTACTGATTCTTAGATTAAATAAGTAATTGGCCGCCCTTGAAGAAATTCAGTGTAAAGAGGGAAACATTGATGTAAACAAAAAATTTCAACACAGTGGACAAATGATAATAACTATGTAAAAAGAGGGGTGGGAACGGAAAGGAGACACCAAACTGGGTGTGATGGTGATGGGAAGGTAGTATTGGAAGCTTCTAGGGAGAAAGTAAAACTTTAGCTAAATAAGGAGTTACTCCTCCATGTGAACCACAGGAGTTAAAAAAGAGGTGAAGGAAGCAGCTTGTGCCTGACACCTTTGAGAGACTTTGACTCAGCCAAACCAACATGGATTGAGAGGAATGGCATGAAAGAGAAAGCAGGCACCTAATCAGTAAAGACTCAAAGTGTCCTGGTGGCTACTTGGCTGGTAAGTGGGTAGAAGATCATCCACTGAGGTTAGAAAAGAAAGAGCAAGTCTGTGGGGTACAATACTTTTTTTTTTGCGGTATGTGGGCCTCTCACTGTTGTGGCCTCTCCCGTTGCGGAGCACAGGCTCCAGACGCGCAGGCTCAGCGGCCATTGCTCATGGGCCCAGCTGCTCCACGGCATGTGGGATCCTCCCAGACTGGGGCACGAACCCATGTCCCCTGCATCGGCAGGCGGACTCTCAACCACTGCGCCACCAGGGAAGCCCTAAAATACTTTTTAATTATGGATACCTTCCCATATTGATTCCAGGCACAGTGCCAAGCACCTTTATTATTTTATTTAATCCTCACAACAGTTTTATGAGGTAAAATTGTACTATTGTCTTCATTTTGCAATTTAAAAACAAATACTGAGATTCAGGGATTAATGACCGGTTACATAGTTACCAAATCTGTTCTGCACCAGAGCCCAAGTTAGTATCTTTCTACCATGCTATGCTGAATTTGAGGTGCCTACAGGAATTCCATCTGGATGTGTCCACAGGCAGGAGTGCAAAGGAGGGATAGGAAAAGAGACACAGACTTGGGGCTTATCAGCATATGGGGACACAGTGGGATCAAAGCTATGGGCTCAGATGAGAGGGTTTAGCGAACTCTAAATTGGGAGAAGGAAAAAAGAGGACCTGGGGAACACTAACCTTAGAGGGAAAAAAGAAGAAAGGAAACCAGAAAAAAAAAGAGTTTGAGAAGGAGCCATCTGATACTGCGAATCCTAAAAATGTCCTTCGGTGAATCTTTTTGAGAAGTCCCTAGTCCAGGTGTCTGGCGCTCAGTAAAGGACTTCTGGGGTCAGAAGCGGCATTCTGTCAAGGTTGGGCCTTTGTACCTAATTCCTTCAGTTCCTTAAGGACCAAACGACGACCTGAAACCTATACGGAGACTTCACTACCTGGGTAGGTAAAAATTAGCAAATCCTCCTTAAAGCAGATCAAGAACTTTTTCCTCTGGTGTCCCAAAGGAGCTGTGGATGTGAACGATCAGAGGTTACTGCAGGAACAACCAACAGGTATTGGGCAAGGATCCAAGCAGCTGGCGGACTGCGACTGGGTCCGAGGAAAGGAGAGCTTGCCCTGACAGGCAGGCACGCGCACGCCTAATAGGAAGGCCGGGAGCGCCCGGCGCTCCCGCGCGTCGCCCGACTCTACACCTCATTGCAGTCCCCTCCTTCTCCGGTGCCCGTATACTCTGTGATCTTTCTGCCCTCCCAAACGCTCCCCTCAGCGTCCCAGCCCTCCCTACGCGGTCACTACCCCTCTCTTTACCCGCTCAGCCGGCGGGGCTGTGCGTCACGGGGGCGGGGCCAAAATGTAGCTCGCGCCAGGCCCCGCCCCCCCGGCCGAAACTGGGAGGGCACTGCTTGTGTGGGGTCCGGAGTTTTCTCACTCAGCGGCATCATCCCACCGTCTCCGAGTCCTTGCCTTTTTCTGAGGCCCTCTACTGCCACCTGAGCGAACGCGGGGAGTCAAGGCAAGGCGTGCGGGGCGCCATGAACGGCCGCCGCCTGATGGGCGCGGCGGCGGCGGCGGCGGCGGCGGCGGAGGAGGGATTGGTCGGCTGAGGGCCTGTTTGGGGCCGAGGCATGTGGAGCCCCGGCGGGAGCTTGCTTCAGACTCTGCCACGACTTCTGCAGCACAACACCCTTCCGGGCCACGCAGAACTGCCGCTCCGCTGGGCCCTGCTGCGGGCGGCGGGCGGGGACGACTCAGCGGACCGCCTTCCCCGCGGGGGCGGGGCGAGCACGGCGGAGGCGGCGGCGGAGATTCAGGGATTAATGACCGGTTACATAGTTACCAAATCTGTTCTGCACCAGAGCCCAAGTTAGTATCTTTCTACCATGCTATGCTGAATTTGAGGTGCCTACAGGAATTCCATCTGGATGTGTCCACAGGCAGGAGTGCAAAGGAGGGATAGGAAAAGAGACACAGACTTGGGGCTTATCAGCATATGGGGACACAGTGGGATCAAAGCTATGGGCTCAGATGAGAGGGTTTAGCGAACTCTAAATTGGGAGAAGGAAAAAAGAGGACCTGGGGAACACTAACCTTAGAGGGAAAAAAGAAGAAAGGAAACCAGAAAAAAAAAGAGTTTGAGAAGGAGCCATCTGATACTGCGAATCCTAAAAATGTCCTTCGGTGAATCTTTTTGAGAAGTCCCTAGTCCAGGTGTCTGGCGCTCAGTAAAGGACTTCTGGGGTCAGAAGCGGCATTCTGTCAAGGTTGGGCCTTTGTACCTAATTCCTTCAGTTCCTTAAGGACCAAACGACGACCTGAAACCTATACGGAGACTTCACTACCTGGGTAGGTAAAAATTAGCAAATCCTCCTTAAAGCAGATCAAGAACTTTTTCCTCTGGTGTCCCAAAGGAGCTGTGGATGTGAACGATCAGAGGTTACTGCAGGAACAACCAACAGGTATTGGGCAAGGATCCAAGCAGCTGGCGGACTGCGACTGGGTCCGAGGAAAGGAGAGCTTGCCCTGACAGGCAGGCACGCGCACGCCTAATAGGAAGGCCGGGAGCGCCCGGCGCTCCCGCGCGTCGCCCGACTCTACACCTCATTGCAGTCCCCTCCTTCTCCGGTGCCCGTATACTCTGTGATCTTTCTGCCCTCCCAAACGCTCCCCTCAGCGTCCCAGCCCTCCCTACGCGGTCACTACCCCTCTCTTTACCCGCTCAGCCGGCGGGGCTGTGCGTCACGGGGGCGGGGCCAAAATGTAGCTCGCGCCAGGCCCCGCCCCCCCGGCCGAAACTGGGAGGGCACTGCTTGTGTGGGGTCCGGAGTTTTCTCACTCAGCGGCATCATCCCACCGTCTCCGAGTCCTTGCCTTTTTCTGAGGCCCTCTACTGCCACCTGAGCGAACGCGGGGAGTCAAGGCAAGGCGTGCGGGGCGCCATGAACGGCCGCCGCCTGATGGGCGCGGCGGCGGCGGCGGCGGCGGCGGCGGAGGAGGGATTGGTCGGCTGAGGGCCTGTTTGGGGCCGAGGCATGTGGAGCCCCGGCGGGAGCTTGCTTCAGACTCTGCCACGACTTCTGCAGCACAACACCCTTCCGGGCCACGCAGAACTGCCGCTCCGCTGGGCCCTGCTGCGGGCGGCGGGCGGGGACGACTCAGCGGACCGCCTTCCCCGCGGGGGCGGGGCGAGCACGGCGGAGGCGGCGGCGGCGGCAGCGGCCTCCGGCGCCTTGCTCGGAGCCTATCTGGGGCACCACGGTCAGCCTGCGGCCTCTGAGCTGCCGGCGCCGGGCGCGGCCTTGGCAGGCAGCCCCGGGAGCGGCAGCGGCGGCGGCGTGGTGGTCGGCGTGGCCGAGGTGAGAAACTGGCGCTGCTGCTGCCTCGGCAGCACCTGTTGGTGCCGGAGCCTGGTGCTGGTCTGCGTGTTGGCCGCGGTGTGCTTCGCTTCCCTGGCCCTGGTCCGCCGCTACCTGCAGCACCTCCTGCTCTGGGTTGAGAGCCTTGACTCGCTGCTGGGGGTCCTGCTCTTCGTGGTGGGCTTCATCGTGGTCTCGTTCCCCTGCGGCTGGGGGTACATCGTTCTCAACGTGGCCGCCGGCTACCTGTATGGCTTCGTGCTGGGCATGGGACTGATGGTGGTGGGCGTCCTCATCGGCACCTTTATCGCCCATGTGGTCTGCAAGCGGCTGCTCACCTCCTGGGTGACCGCCAGGATCCAAAGCAGCGAGAAGCTGAGCGCCGTTATTCGCGTCGTGGAGGGAGGAAGTGGCCTGAAAGTGGTGGCACTGGCCAGACTGACCCCCATACCTTTTGGGCTTCAGAATGCAGTATTCTCGGTAAGTGGTGTCCCGCTGGTCCATCTCTCTCCAAGTCTGTTTTTGAGCGATCTTGTGACAGCCCTGGGAGGACGCTGCAACCGATAAATGCCAGCAGAGAAGTGACATTGACAACAGGAATTAAAATTACTTTCCGTCGTACCCTGAGAAATCTCAAACAAGTAAAGCAAATCTAAGTCCGGCCCTCAATAGGAGATTTGGTAGAGAAAGAGCTACTCCTTTTTTGGCATATGAGTTTGATTAAAAATGAACAGCCCTAGAGAGGGTGGGAGGGAGGCTCAAGAGGGAGGGAATATGGGGATATACGTATACATATAGCTGATTCACTTTGTTGTACGGCAGAAACTAACACAACATTGTAAAGCAATTATACTCCAATAAAGATATAAAAAGAAATGAAGAGCCCTTTAACTATGAGGGGAGATGAGTGGAAATATCCATTTTAAACATTTGTCATCAGATTTCTGTAGCAGCTTTGGCAACAGTCAGGGAGTAAAGGCTTCACATGCCTAGCTTTCTCTCTAACTTGCGTAAATGCATCCAGTGTTTTGACTCAAGTTTTTAACAACTTGGGGCTAAAGGAAGTGTTTGGGTAAACAGTGTAGAGGGTAGTTACAGACTCCATATTTTGGAGTTTCCTAAAATCTTTAATAGGCTTTTTTTTTTCATCAAGTAATTTGCTTTTACAGTGTAATGGGGGGAAGCCTCCTTTTTATCTGTTTTTGGAGGAACTTCATTTTGAAATCACTAGGTAGTAGGATAGGACAGATAATCTTTCTCCCAGTGAGAATATATTTGTCTTTTTACACACCTTCTATGCTCTTTTTGCCTTGTATTCATATGTTCTGCTTATTCAGTTTAGGTATTTCTAGTTAATGTACATCACATTGTAACTGACTGAGGAATAGAAACACTGCTAAGTGAGGAAACCATCCCATTGGAAGAAAGGAATCCAGTATTTACAAACTTAGTGTCTTTGGAACAAATTATTAACACGATCTGCCCTTGCTTTCCACTTTTCTAAGGTGAAGGGGTTGAACTGGTTACTGAGTTCCTCAAATTCAGTGATTCTAAAGTTCAAAGAGTTCATATCGAGATTCTCAGGAACTCAACCCTTCAGCTAGACCGAAAGAAAACTCTGTGTGAAGAAAGAAATTTAGCACTCAAATCCATAGGAATCAATGTATTTTATGTTATTCTGGCACATTGTTTTGTCTCAAAAATAGTTAGTCTCTAGAAACTTTCTCATTTTGTTTTATGTTAAGAATAATTCTAACCAACCTACCTCTCTGTGATGAAGTTAAGATTTTTTATTTTTTCTTCTTTTCTTTTTAAATGCCTTTTGCAAATCTCATGTTGATTCTAACCAACAGCAGTAATGACTGTAGATTGAAGCTTGGGGAGGCATGGAAATAGATAAGGAGTTTTCTGTACAGATAAAGTTTGGTGTTTACAGGCAGTTTGGTATGTTCTCTTCCTTAAATTTTTACCTTTTCACAACCTCCTATAAACATGAACTTTGACCCAACCTTGGATGATAATAGGTCAAGTATCCTAAGACTTTGAAAGAGAGTGGGAACTAAGGAACCTGAATAGTTTCATACCTTTAGTTTGCTTCCTCTCTAGTATAATTTCCGTGTGCATTTTCTCGTCCACCTACCATGTGCCTACTATCCTAGGCTCTTTCCCACATATTATTTCTAATCTAAACTAACCCTGCAGAAGGTGATTATACATATTTTATAGACTATTGTCTAATAGTCTGGAACACAGGGCTGGTGCTCTGGAATTCTACTGTCCCCATAGAATCTGTTGACCTTGGTCAAGTTATTTATCCTCTCTTTGGTTCATTTTCTTATTTGCAAAATGGGGAAAGTAACGGTACCTACTTCATAGGATTATTGAGACAATTAATAAAATAAATACTGCTACTGACCCTGGATTAACAAACACTCACATGTTGGCTTTTGTCATCATTACTGTTGTTATTACCCAGGGTCACCTAGGTAGAGTCAAACTTTGCACTATGGTTTGAAGATAGGGTCTCAACCCATAACTCTGTTTCTTCATTGTATATTTAATTACCTAGTATAGTCCCGGGTATATAATGTGGACTCTATATATTTATTAATTAAAAATAAGGGGGGCTTCCCTGGTGGCGCAGTGGTTGAGAGTCCGCCTGCCGATGCAGGGGACACGGG